TATATATATATATATGTATGTATAAAACATGGTACTGTGGATTTTCAACCCACAGATGGCAACCTAATGAAGTTTTTTTTTTTCACTGAAAAGATTATATAGACAACTGAAATCCAGTTGTTGCTAACAACATACTCTTTCCAAAATGCTCCTGTTCTCTCTATATTTACCGGTTTGTGAGAATTTATTTCTTAGTTGTGATCATGTGCTGCTTGGACCCCACAGAACAGAACACTTTTAATCTCTATTTTGTAGTCACAACAGCAGGATTCTCCATCACTGAATAGCTGCTATGCAGGTTGCTCCTGTGAAGTCAACAAAGTTCCACCATTCAGACCCTTATCAGCCACTCTCACATGACCGATAAATGTGTTGTCAGTGTGCATCTATCAGTCATGTCAGAGTATGATTGTGCACACACCCTTGAAAAAACAAAGCAAGTCATTGTCTAGGACTATTTCAAACAAATGCACACACATTCTTTAGGAGAATTTGGTCTGATCGATCATTATTAATTTGATTCAATAATCTGATCGACATTCAGAATCAAAGTTCTGTGCAAAAAGATAATGTCCACCAAACATTCATGCAGTTTCAGTTATAGTCTTTCCAGGAAAACAGGGGTGATGCAGTTATTTTCAGCTTTAATTCCTCTCCAGTCCTAATGGTTCCTGAATGGAGTGATTGTAGCACACGTTTCCTTTGAGGCTAGGAACGTCAGGAGGGGGTGGGGCAAGGAATTGGGCTGGGGTTGAGGAATGCCACATTGTGTTTAGCCTTTTGTTCCCATCACTTTGGACAGTCTCAGATGACTCTGACACGGCAAACAATCACCTCCCTCCCAGCCTTCACAGGTACAACGAGCAGGGCAGTTAACACAAAACAGGAAGCACCAGCTCAGAGCTCTGTGGCAGGACAGAACAGCCCATTGCCCAGAGGGAGGAGTTGTGTACAGCTCCTTATTTGGTTGAAAGGGATCACATGGGCTGCCGCATCTGAACAACAGTTGTGAAGAAGTCAGAGAACTTCGAACTCTGGCGAGCCCAGGAGACTTGGAGTGAGACGGAGAAAAAAAGACTCAAGGAATATAACACTGAGCACATGGTATGAGGGGAAAATGCCCATTAACTTCACAGTGGTGCCGGTGGAGGACACCCCAATTTCAAATGCAGACTATGATGGAGAGATAATGAAAGAAGAGGACAAGGAGGAGCCACACACGGCAGCAGGACCCTACTTAGGTGAGAGTCAGGGAATCCTGCCTAGACATGTGCAAACAGAAGAGGAGAACTTTTAAAGACTTGCTGTGAAAGGCTTGGGTTTTATTAAAAGTGTCTGTGTTTACAGTGAGCGTATCCTCAAAAGCAAATGTGTGCCATGTTTACTGGCATGTGTTTGTGAAATCATCTCCTCATGGAATGTAAACAAGTGGCAGTTTCCTAGTGTCTTTTTTCCCTCCATTTTCCTATTTCTCTTTTGGTTAACATCACTTTGGGCAGTCTCAGATGACTCTGACACGGCAAACAATCACCTCCCTCCCAGCCTTCACAGGTACAACGAGCAGGGCAGTTAACACAAAACAGGAAGCACCAGCTCAGAGCTCTGTGGCAGGACAGAACAGCCCATTGCCCAGAGGGAGGAGTTGTGTACAGCTCCTTATTTGGTTGAAAGGGATCACATGGGCTGCCGCATCTGAACAACAGTTGTGAAGAAGTCAGAGAACTTCGAACTCTGGCGAGCCCAGGAGACTTGGAGTGAGACGGAGAAAAAAAGACTCAAGGAATATAACACTGAGCACATGGTATGAGGGGAAAATGCCCATTAACTTCACAGTGGTGCCGGTGGAGGACACCCCAATTTCAAATGCAGACTATGATGGAGAGATAATGAAAGAAGAGGACAAGGAGGAGCCACACACGGCAGCAGGACCCTACTTAGGTGAGAGTCAGGGAATCCTGCCTAGACATGTGCAAACAGAAGAGGAGAACTTTTAAAGACTTGCTGTGAAAGGCTTGGGTTTTATTAAAAGTGTCTGTGTTTACAGTGAGCGTATCCTCAAAAGCAAATGTGTGCCATGTTTACTGGCATGTGTTTGTGAAATCATCTCCTCATGGAATGTAAACAAGTGGCAGTTTCCTAGTGTCTTTTTTCCCTCCATTTTCCTATTTCTCTTTTTCTCTGTCTTTCACTGTTTCTCTTTAGATTAACTTTCTTTTGTGGGTTCCATTGAAATTTAAAGGGACAGGTCACCCAAAAATGAACATTCTGTCATCATTTACTCAAGTGTATGAATTTCTTTCTTTTTCTGAACACAGAAAAATATATTTTGAAGAATGTTGGTAGCAAACAGTTTCTAGTAGCCTTTGATTTCCGTAGTTTTTTTCCCCCCTCCATACTATGGAAGTCAATGGATACCCTCAACTGTTTGGTTAACAACATTCTTTAAAATATCTTCTTCTGTGTTTAACAGAAAAAAGAAATTCACACAGATTTGGAACAACATGAGGGTGAGTAAATGACAGAATCTGAATAAGAACTAAATAGAAGTCAGTTCAATCATCAGGCATTTTAAGTTGCATTAGGGCTCTTGTGTAACTTGTTACTGTGTTGTTGTATCATTATTTACATGAAATGTGGAAGTTGTTGATCAATGTTCCTTCATTTTCTGACTTGAAACGCTATTGGAAAAGACATAATTGTCTTAAAGTTTTTAGTTATCCATTCACATAAGAATTGCATAATCCAGATTTTTTTCTTTTATGTGTGTTAATGTGTGTACTGGGGTGTGTAGCAGAGCTTGTGGCTCATCATTATGGAATTTGTCCTCTTCCTTTAAACTGACCTATTTAAAACTTTCCATGAAAAAATACGTTTAATTGTGCTGTTTCCCTTTTAAGATGAAATACTGCTTGTGTAAAAAAAACCTCATTAACCCTATAAATCCTACTATATCATATTTGATACAGTACATGAATTTCCATAAATTAACAAGGTCAGAACTTTGCTGAAAAACCTGCTGTACATGCATTCTGCCATCTGATTGATAGTTCAAACTTTTTTGACAAGTAAAAGGCCTACAACTCTAAACATGTCCTCATTCAGGTCATCTTTTTATTGTGAAATCTTTATAAAAATATTATGATTTTTATATAGTAAACAAGAATTTTTTTTATTGTTTTTATTATTTAATGATTTACTGGACTGAAACAACTTGATTAATCCGTACATAATTTTTTTTTCAGAAAAATCATGTTAAAATGTGAGTAGCAAATATGATACATAAGTCTTTTGAGGAACATTTATTTGTACATCTCTCAATCATCATTGTATTGCTAAAATGAAAGCTACTGAGTATTGATCATAAAACTAAGCATTGAAATATCATCTTACTATGACTATTGGGAGATCTAGAATGAAAACTAATTTGCATGACAAGCTGTCAGAATGTCATCTTCTCTTTGGGCACATAAATAACATCTGCACTAAATTGCATATTTTTGCTTAGTTTTGGCCTCTGAATAAAATTTATGTTTTTTCCCTCCTTGAGTAGGCGCACCATATTCCTACCACATATATAATATGATACTCAAAAAAAACAAAAAAAAAGATTTTCTGACTATTATTTAATATCTCAGGCTTTGCAGTGTTCAAATATTTGATATTTTATAAACGAATAATTTTATTTAGCAAGGATGCATTTAAAAGATATTTATAAAAATATAAAATATAAATATTCAAATCTGTATATTAGAATGATTTCTGAAGGATCATGTGGCATTCCAATAATGGCTACTGAAAATTCAGCTTTGCCATCACAGGAATAAATGGCATTTTAAAATGTATTCAAAGAAAACAGTTATTAGTAGTAGAGTCTATTATACGTTTAAAATCATGTCTTTATACAGTAACTATGAGCTTTTCCAAAACTTCTCAAACTAGTCCCTTTGGGATTTCATCATTTGTATACAAAATTAGCTGTGCACAGGATGATAAACAAAACTTACAAGCCACACAGAAGGAATTCTCAGGAAAATGATGTTTCGGAAGCCTTGAAAGTTTTTTTATGAACCTACTCTGTTATTGTTCTATTCTCACTGTGGAAAGAGACATGAAATTAGATCCAATGGCAGCACAGGCCTGGGAAATACATATTTCCCAATTTACTACAACGTTAAAACCAACTTTCTCTGTCCGTTAAACAGCAGCAATATACCTGTACATCAATGCAGCAATGTGTTCAGTCTTGAATTCATTCAGTAGTTTGATTGTCACTGCTTGTAAACTACTAAATATAAATTGATTTCATTTCCATATCTAATATTTATATATATAAATCTTTAAATGTTTATCATAATCATATTGTACCCACTTCAGTAATTTCACACTGGACACACTCCTCTTGTTTCACTTTGAAATGTTTCTGCAGTTACACAAATGAGGTCTAGCATGCTGGAACTGGATTTCAGTTTTTCTTTCTGCACATATTCTCTTTTGGCTGACTAACTGGTTTTGAAAAAGCCTTTACTGTAATCCCCCCTCCCCTCCTCGAGTTGATGACAAGTCATTCAAGACTTGCGTTCAGCGCCGCCAGTCAACGATCCAGTACAGAGGGTTAAAGAAATACAGGACAGAGCCAGTCTGATGTTGTTTTTGAACCTCACAGAGGACAAGACAAACTAGAGGGAAGGAAGTGGCTGATATCACCTTCATAAAGTGTATACTGGAATAAAAACTGAGAGAAGAAGAGAGATGTAGGAGACTTGGAAAAGAGAGAGGCTGATCCCCTTCAGACAGATCACCATCCTTCTTGACAAAACTAAGAAGTTGGTCTAGCATTGCTTGCAACAGGTTGAGAAGACTACATGAAGACTATTGAACTGGAATGAAATAGAAGTCAGCTGCAGTCCTGTGGTCCAACAGACGGATTTGCATCAGAGGAGACTGTACAGCAATTTACTGAGGCACAGTGTCTCCTCTTTTAACCAAACAAGAGAAAGGTAAAAAGGTTCTTACCACTCAGACCATCAGAGATGTTCACACCTTTGTTTCTGTCTCAGCATGGAGTGTGAAGAAGGTTTGAATGTAGAGACATTAGGTGAGTTTGAATCTCATCGATTTGGATCATCAAAAAAATCATTACAATGGCAAGAGTAAGCTTACGATTATACATCAACTTGTAATTAATGTTGAGCATTTGAAATTTCACATACTGGAAAAAACGCTTGTTTGACCTTTACATATACATTGGTAATGTTTCACTTTCTTTTTTACCATTGCCATATGTTTCTTGCCTTTAGGCAGAGTTGTGAGGTAGACAGCTCACAGATCTGCTGTTGTGAGGGTTTAAGATTAAAACATATTAAAAGAGCTGTTAACCACATCAAGTCATAGTTTGAGGGGAACACAAGTTGAGTGACTTCTGGACAGACAAAAAATTATCTGGATGATCTGTTTACATTTTACCTTCTCAAATATCTTTAGAAAAATATATCATGCTTGTTTGCTGCATATATTGGTTTAGTGACTGCAAACAATCATGGTATATTAAACAGTATACTGGATTTCAGCGCTGTATCAACACTTTTTGGGCTATTTCAAGATGGCAACATGACCCTTCATTTGTTTCAACAGCGTCTAGTAAATGAAAGGGTTCAGTTACATTTCTTGACTAAAATAACAGATGAAGAGATGAAGAGTTATGTGGAAAATGTGAGTTGTGTAATGTTTTCCCAAGACAAGAATAAACATGTCTGGTCAATAGAGTTAACATTTTCACTTTTATTATTTTTATTTATTTATTTATTTATTTTTTGTGCTTGTACACCTTATGTCTGGTCCAAAGCTAACAACACTGAGGGAGGAAAAAAATGGTTAAAGCTCTAATTAAGACTAAATACGCTACATGCATTTTTCAGAGATTTTTGACCTGATTTGCAATTTAGAGAAGTCAGCTTTAGTTGCTTGAAGTTAGAGAATGTCACAGGATAACAAACATGTCTGATGTTTTGAGCAGATTTTAGAATGCTTTGTTTTCATTTGTTCTGCGTCTTCTAACAACCTCGTATGTTTCTGTTGTTTCTGTTCTGTTGTGTTTGGCGAGACTTAAAATTCTGGTACACTCAATCATTTAGTGTATAATGTCAATTTTTTTCTCTGTAACCATTTACAAAGTTGGCAAGTGTAATATGACGAGTCAAGTCACCTTTATTTATATAGCGCTTTTAACAATACAGATTGTGTCAAAGCAACTGAACAGCATTAATTAGGAAAATAGTGTGTCAATAATGCAAAATGACAATAGTAAACACTAATTTTTCAGTTAAAGGCAGTTCGTCATTGAATTCAGTGATGTCATCATCCAGCTCAGTTCAGTCTAAATAGTATCTTTGCAATCATTTGCAATCAAATCAACGATATCGCTGGAAATGAAGTGTCAAAGAAACCTGGGCTTCCATACCACCTCAGCAGTGCCACAAACTGATCACCTCCATGCCACGCCGAAT